GTAAATATTTGGAAGTACAGTACTTGCATGTACATGCTAGATTACGGCATGTAATGTTTATAGCTGTATTTCTTATAGAGCATATGGATTTCATGAGTTTTGCCCCCTGAACAGTCACGTTTCCCTTTTTTGCCCCACATCTAGCACAGGAACCACTATCTTTAAGAAAGTTAGGGTCATATTTCATACTTATTCAAAAAAGGAGAAGACATGTTCTTTTTGCTTTTGAAGATGACTGAGGGACTTTTTTTTGAAGACCATTGAAATGGCATTTTAACCTCTGCTTGAAACCCATGGGAAGTCACGGTGAGAAATCATTAACTATATCCTATTAAAATCCTGAAACAAGACCTGAGCTAGTTGCATTGATTGAAATATCTTCTCTATTTTTAACTCAGTGTTTATCCTGGTGCTCTCTAAGGGACTTCTGAGCATGAAATACCCAAATGTGTGCAGTACTAGGGGCAGTCAGCTAGCAGTACTTATCTAACACCATCAACTAATTGTGCTGAGAACCAGAGCTTAGTGTATTTGGAAGTTCATTTCCTTTTTTAAAAAAACCATTTATTTAATTAAGCAAGGGAATAAAATTTTTAAACTTATTCCTAGTTCTTTAAGACCATAAAACATCACCGATATTGACTGAATTTATCTTTTACAAGGCTAATTTATACCACAGTGAACATCATCAAAGTCATGATGAGATAGTGAAATGAGTCTCAATTTTTAAAATAAAATATTCAAAGGAAGGTTATGCAGTATACATAGACATGAGAAAATATTCGTACTTAATATCATTCGTCTGATGTACATACAGATCTTTAAAAATTCTTTTTGTGTGCCTTCTTTCTGGAATGTCCCCATATATACATTCCTTCTGCCCTCCCCATCCCTGACCAAGTGTATTGAATTAACATACACCATTGTTCTGTATATTAATTTATAAATGTTTCTTTTGTCAGAGTCTGAGATGACTATTACTGCTCTCTGGTGGCATATCATTTTATATCTATTTATCACTTGGATTAGAGTTAAAATTTTACCAGGACAGAGTTAGGGTGAAGCAGTGATGGTCACAGAGAAAAAAAATCTTTGCAGAGAACTTTAAGTTAGTTATGTGTTAAAGTATAACACATTTTTTGGTTCTTTGTTTTTGTTTTTGGTGGGGTTTTTAGACAATGATTTTTTTAAAAAAAATAATTGCAGGGTCATATTATTTTTGATGAGTTTGAAAGTATTGTGTTCTTAGTGATGTCAAACATTGAAAACCTATCTTGACAGCAGGATTTCCGAAATCAAATTATGATGGTGAAATAGTGACTTTACTGTACATGAGCCTGTGAAATGATTGCCTTACCTGTCACTCCATCAAGCAACCTGGAAGGTTTAAGGAATGCTGCGGGGCAGGGGATTCTTCAACTTGAGGAGTTCTCCCTGCAGCTCCTCTACCTCCTAGTTCTATGGTGAGACAAATGGAAGCACTGTAGCTTGAAGGTGCCTCTGCTGGAATGAGATGCAGAGAGGCCTCTCTGTTCTTTACAGGCATCATAGATCTAATAGTACTTACAAAAGAAGGGAGTTGTACCCTACTGACTAAATTATTCTCTGGGGGAGTATTAGTTACAGAGCTTCTTTGTTAACGAGGCTGAATGCTTAAACCACTTTGAACTTCTTTTATTAGTGTGTTTTAAGATAGCTCTACATATGTATACCTTAAGTATACAGGATGGGAATATTTTGATATAATTTACATATAAAAGTTGTATATGTATAGCAGTAATATAAAATTATATCTTTTTATTACTCTTCTGTTGCATCAGTGTGTAGTCAGCACTGAAATTCTGATGACAGGTGAACACAAAGAAAGCCACCATTTTTATATTTTCCTCTTGATAGTTCCTTGATCAGCTTGTTGAATAAGAGAAATATTTTTGATGCCTTTGTAGTTTAAATGAAATTCTCTTAACACCCATTGATGTTACTTTTTCAAACATGATGTGGAATTTTAAGGGAGGACAGGGAAGGAATTTGTAGGTTATGTGGAAAAGTACAAAAATTTCCATGCAATATTTTGTTTTCATGAAGATTTAACTACAATTGGTGGCTTTTAAAAAATGGAATCTGCATTTTCTTTTCTGTGTTTAATTCCATATGTAGTATAATAGAAAATACTTGTATATCTTGTTATTTTCCATAATCTTTTTCTCTAGAGAAGCATGTTTCCTCCTGCCGAGTTCTGTCTAACTGGCCTTTGCTTACTAGTGTTCCTTATTGGTTAGTGTTAGGAAAACACCTAGCCTGTGGAGGCTGCCTTCCATTCTGATGGGAGGCTCAGTACTTTTCAGATGGTTGTGGTAATGGAGTAAGTTCTTGTGCAAATCATAATGCATAATGAGGGCTGTGCAGTTCACCTGAGACCTCTCTTAACTCAGACTTCCCCTAAAGAAGAGGCAAAGGCAGTAGAGGCAGTACTAGTATACACAGTTTTTCTAGTCAAAGGTCAGCAATCTTGTCCTGTTAGGGCCACATGGTAAACACTTTAGGCTTTGCAGACCACAAGATCTGTGTCACATGGTCTCTGCCACCACCACTGACCTGGAACAGCCATAGGCAAGCATGTGGTTTGTCCAGTGAAATGCTGTGAACACATACATTTAATTTCATGTTTTTCATGTGTCATAACATAATATTTTTAAAGCCTTTTTCAAATAGTTAAAAATGCATACCTTTGGGAAGAGCAAAACCACCCCACATTCAGCCCACAGGCCATAGTTTACACTCTCCTGTTTTTAAACAGGACCACTACAATTGGTTACATCAGTGAGGAAGAGGATGCCAACACTGAAAGAATTATCTGAGACTCTGACCACTCTTCCCCATCCCTGCATCACTGCAGTTTGAAGGTTGTGCAAAGTTATAAATCAGGAGGCAGCCTGAGGCTGGAGGAATGGAGAGAGTCAGGTCCCACTTTTTGTCTTTGTGCACATCAGTGTATGTGCATGTCTAGTAACCTTTTTTTTAAGACACTCCAGTAATTACCTTGATTGCTGAAGTATAACTGCTTGTACATAGCATGTTGGCTGGCTTAGTAACCCTCTGTCTCTACTTGGCTTCACAAAAGTTGTATTCAGTTTGGAAGTTCCACATGGAGCTATTATTGAATCCAACAATCAAATACAAAGTTTTACCAGATGAATATGTGCAAAATCATGCATCTCATGTGCCCTGAGCAGAAGTAATTTTTTTTCTGAATTTTGAAAATGCAATTCAACTTACATCACTTCATGTTAAAAATTTGATAATATTTCATCCAGGGTTGATACCTTTTTCATTCTGCTGTGTTACTGTTTTGTGTTTTTCATAAGCAGTAATTGTTTGACACTGAAGGTTACTCTTTTTTTTTTTTTTTTTTTCAATATGGGAATTGGACCTAGGACTTCATGCATGCTAGCCTACCATTCTTCTAGCTAGCTACCCATCCCCACACCCGCCCTGCCTTTGTATTTGAGACAAGGTCTCACTAAGATGCCCAGGCCAGCATCAAACTTGGGATCATGCTACCTCAGCCTTTCGAGTAGCTGGGATTACAGGAGTGTGCCACTATGCCCTACCCAAAGGTCATTCATCTTTTTGTGAGGTTCTCTTCAGCTGTACTTTACAATATATTTTTAAATTATTGACAGTTTTACTGTTAAGCTACAGAAATTAATTATATACTATAACAGAGATCAACAGATAGCTGTCCAGAGAACTTGGATCCCAATTCTGAGTTTGCTTTGTGATATTTTGGTGTATCTTTATGAGCTATGACCTTGTCCCTTTCATACCTTCTTCTTTTGCAAAGCCTTAGTTTCAAAAGTCCTCATTGTAGAAAAAGTTAAAATAGAGGTAGTACAGAGTATCTCTTAGGATTGAATATGATTTGCATGCAGTAACATAACTAGGTATCTCTGGTTCCACTCTGCAGAGTACCAGGACAAAATTTTTATGCTTCAACCCAGTTGATGTACTCAACTTTAAGCTCCCAATTTTGACGGGGTTTGCAGAGAGATTGGGAGTGTAGTTAATCCAGTGGGCCTGAGGCTAGTTACTGAGCACTCTAAGCCATAAGGGCACCACAGAAAATGGGCCAAAATAAAGTCTTTGTCCCCCTCACATTCTGGTAGAGGTACAGAGGACCATCTCCTTTCTCTTTCTCAATTTTCCTTCATTTTCTTTAACACCTACATTCTTTCCTTGGTGATGGGATGAACAAGAACTTTGCCAGCTTCAGTGTTTTCAACCTGTCAAGTGGAGATTTTGCCAACTGCCTCCAGAAGGTGTTATGGTAAAATTAAGTGGCATTAACACCAGCAAGTTGGCATATAAAGGTATAAGGTGTAACAGTAGGACTCATTTCTGCTAACATAACTTGAAAGGGACTTATTTTTACAATATATAAAAAGGCAAAAATATCATTGTTTCGTTATAATGATTTCTTTGCAGTCATTTAAAATGTAAGAGCTTTTTACCACAAAGTTTGGTTAAAATTTTGACTCTTACTAAATTGCAATGCCCCAGTTTGAAATTCAGTTTGCCAATATCAAATTTGAAATTAAGGGGTCCAGAGCCTGTAGTGGTTCTGAAGTTTTGAAGTCCTCATTTATGAGCCAGGCATATTATGCTACGGTAAGTCATCCCACAGAGGGCTATTCTGTGTTGCACTTGGAATAGTCTAACAGACTCCATACTGGTAGTAAAGAGAAAAGTTTCAAGCATGGTTTTATGAAAGACATACAACTTTCCTCATTTTTTACAACATGCCAAATCTTATGGATTCATTCTATGAATGAGCTTACTAAAGTCTTCTGATAACAAGCGCCCATACTCCAAATTGTGAGGGTTATCCCAAAAACCTTTTCTCAGAAGGGAGTGACATTATGATTTTTGAGTAGTATTTTGATTAGATATTGGTCCAAATCTGTGTTACTACATAAATATGTGCTGTCTTTCTTTCTCAGGACCTGTCTGGCTCCATTGATGACCTCCCCACAGGAACAGAAGCAACCCTGAGCTCAGCAGTTAGTGCATCTGGGTCTACAAGCAGCCAAGGGGATCAGAGCAACCCAGCCCAGTCACCTTTCTCTCCACATGCATCACCCCATCTCTCCAGCATCCCAGGAGGGCCCTCACCTTCTCCAGTTGGCTCCCCTGTAGGAAGCAATCAGTCGCGATCTGGCCCGATTTCTCCCGCAAGTATTCCAGGTATTTACTTTTTAATCATAATGACATTCTTGTTAGTAAAGACATAGCGTTCATCAGTGGAACTCGCATTCAATTAATTTATCTTATTGTTTACAAACCTAGTGCTAGGATTGCATGCTAGGCATGTAACTAACTGCATTTTAACCCAAGGATACCAGTGTCCCAGTTCCTAAAGATACTGAATAAATGGATATAACCACTCATTTAATAAAATGACCAACTACTTTGATGTGTTCAGTTTTTCAAAACCACACAGCTACATATTCTAATAGTATATCTTTTGTAATGATTTCATTAAGTGAAATCCTCTTGTTAAGAGCACTAAAGTGAGATTGTTAACTAGTATTGACCTTTTAAATATTTTTTTCAATATATAATCACAGCAGTTATTTACCTAAGTAATTTTTGAGTTTATATTTATCTTGTCTGATCATATTCACACACTGATTAATGTCAAAATACATTCAGAGCATCACTGTACAATATACAACAGAAGATATAAACTTGTACCTTCTTTCTGCTTTAAGGAGTTTATGTTCAAATTAACTCTTATGTTCAATTTTTTCAGTTGTCATACATCCTTCTGCATCTTCTATATCATATATTATGTTATTAGAATATTTCTTTGGTTATTTGTCAATTGCATCATCTTCTTATCCAGATTTCTTTTATCAAATGCTATCCTTTCAAACCCAACAAAGAGCTAGCTTTTCTTTATCACTAAAATTTATATAGTTTTTCTTTTTTTCTGTGCAGTTTTTGATAATACAATATAGGTGGTTGCCAAAAAGTACCCTACTAGGGTGGATATTGAATCCCTAATAAATTTTTTGACAACTTATTCTGTCCTCTCAAAATCACAGGTGATGAATTTTACCCCATTTTTTACATTTTATTCTTTTCATATTTGTACAAAATATTTATTATGGAATCTTTATCTGTATTGTAATATTATGGGGATATTACATATAAGTACATGCTAATTATGAATCAAAACTATAAAATGAATATGCCAGAGTCTACCATACAGTTTAGAACTGAGTACCACTGGTGCTCTAGTTATATTTCTCTCCCCACCTCAAATATTCTCCATATTTTAAAATCATTCTTTGTTTTTGTTTTTTAGAATTTTATTGCAAACATTCATAGAATTTAGGTTGTTAATTTTATTAAGTAAATTTCTTTACAGAAATCTATCCTATTTAATATGACTAAAATTTTGCACCTAAGCTGAGACTTGAATATATAAAGAGGTCTGTTTGTAATTACAATAGGCAACAAGAAAAAATTAGGAAGGTCCTCCGCAAATCAGAAAATATTGTCCCTCAGTCATTCTATACCCAGATGTGGTGTGCTACATTTTGATTTTTTGACTAAGAGTTGTTTCTAAGGTTCACACATAATTTGGATGTGGATATTGTTAAATGCATTTTGGTTAAGGCATTTTGATGTTACCTCTTGTCAGTAGTATTTATTTGTTCTTATAGGGATTGCAATAAAATCTGGATTGACATGTTTTTAACAGTGTTAAAGCTGTGAGGATGCTTCACTCTAGAATTGCTAAATTCTGGTATGCATGTGGTTTTTAAGATGTCACCTACCTAAGGGATAAAAAGTTGTGTATAAAATATTATATCTCCCGAAGAAGAACTTACTTTTATTCCAAACTGGGCCAAAAGGACTTTAACAACCTAAACAGAAATTTTGCTGAGGTATAAAGAAATTGTAGTTTTAAATTTTAAACCCCTATCATGGGTAGTTGACAATCTGAAGATTCTCATACATGCATATATCATTTTAAATGAAGATTTCTAAAGTTTTGTTTGCTTTGATTGGACGTTAATGTCATGTAGAACACATAATTTAACAGAAGAGCTGACTTTGGACCTATGATCTTGGATAAGCAGGCATTTTTGCTTGGCAGATGTAATTGGTGGCAAAGTCCAGTTCACCTGTGTCTTTGGGAGGGTAAAAGATGGACAGTGAATTATATACTGACATAGACACCATTCCTTCTCCCTCGTAACCAACTATAGATTTGAACATGGAGAGAGAAAGATAGGAGCTTTTGTGTCATTCTCTCTGTGCATTCATTCCTTTTGTAATAGAAAACTGTCTGCTTTCTTAGAAATGTTATCTAAAGCACATAGCTTGTTTTTAAAACTCATGTCAGCTCAGGGTCTGAATTTTGTTTCATTGTGCTATGCCAAGTTAGCTCCACTGTAGCCAGCTTCTGTATGGTGCTTGATCATACTATTCAGTGACCATTTGTACAAAGAAAAAATTAGGCAACAAATGTTTTACCTTTTTTGGTAGTGTCCTCTTGAAATAATTTCTTAACAATTTCTGCCAAAAGAGTGATGGTATGTGGTATATAATATCAATGATGCAAAACAAACAAATAGAACATTTCTTAATGTTAGTGTTAGTCTGAGAGGAATGACTTCTTAGAAAATCTGATGGTTACTTTTGGCATTTGTTCACTTTTCTCACAAGTACAGTGAACTTTTGAGCTGAATTGATGAACTTTCATAACACCTGATCCCACTTCATTTTAGAACATTTACTGTCTAGTGTTGAGCAATATTCTAAGCTTCTGTATGCCTGTTTCTGCATCTGTAATGATGATGACCACATCTCATAAGGGTTCTGCAAAGACCAGATAGGCCTTATATGTAAGACAGTAATGGTAAGCATTCAGTGCATGTTAATTGTTGTCAATACCATCACAGTTACTGTTATTACTGAAACCGAGGGCACCTAGAGACTTGTCCATGGTCATTGTCATCTAGAGTGGTTCATTTGATTTGACAGTAGGTCTTCTGATTCTTAATCCTTTGGCATTCTTATACAATTCAGAAAGTATCTATATAAACGTTACACAGATGTTTTGATCTGTGTTATAGCTTGTGTCTAGATGTCTCTCCAAAGCCTCATGTGTTCACAGGTGGAGCTTTTTCAGAAGTGGATCTAGAGTGTGTGATGTTGGGATTAAGGATGTGTGATTAATAAATCAATCCATTGATTGGTTTAGCATAATTGTGAGTGTGTATAATGAACAGGGCCACTCCGGATAGACTTATAAGGGACAGAAAGAGGGCTGCTGTTGGCATTTGTTCCTTGTTGCTTGCTACTTTGCTGCTGTCTTTCCACCTTTCTGCCTTTGGCCCACCATGAACCACTTCTCCTCTGTGATGCTCCTGTGCCATGTGCTCTGCCTTGAAGCCAGCTGAACATGAACTGAAACCTCTGCAAACTGTGAACCAAAATAAATCTTTCCTCTTTTAACATTGGCATCAGATATTTTGTCTCAGTAATGAGAAAAGTAACTAAGTGTGTTTACTGTGGTTTTTCAGGAGGACTACCAGAACTAGCCATAAAAGTTTAATGTATTTTGACATAGTTGAATCCATTTTTCTTCTAAGTAAAAAAGAAAAAAAGAAAACAAACATAGGTCTCCCATGATGTTCTTGAGGGTTGGGACTGAGAAAATGAAGAGGAAGCCCAGAGATAAAACTGTACTTAGAGATTAACAGCATTTTTGCTATTATAAAAATTTTGGAGTTTTGCTACACATAAAACTTCTAGCTAGAAAATTAACCTTTGCTTTTCTTAGATCACAGGCAAGTTGATTTCCATGTGATGGGAAGGGAGGCGAGTGTAAAAATTAGCAGTAAAGGCAGTTCAGAATGTTATTCATTTTGCTATATAATATGACATCATCAGTTTGACTTTAAGCAATCTTCCCCACCCTCCCTGACCCTGGCCAGGGTTGCCACATACTCCAGTATGCTGCTCCTTGTACCAGTTCATGTGTTCCAGGGGCAGTGGGGTGGATGGTCATCCTGCTTTCTTCTGAAGAGGGCCACCCTTTTCTCATTCATCCAACAGAGCTGGCTAACTCTTAGCATCTTTTTTCAGAGCTTGGAGAGTAGTCCATGGCTTGGATCTAGGCATTCCCTATCTCTCTTCTCTCTTCCTGCAACTAAGCCTAGCAACACTCAAAACATTACTTTGATACATACATGTTCATCAAAAATTTTATATGATTTTATCTTAATGGGATTTATTTAAAAAATCATAGCATATTTTGACTGAAAAAAAGTTTGACTTCTATTTCCCTTTCTAGTTGGCCTATATTTGCCCCCCTTTTTGACAAAAAATTTTCCTCAAATTCATATCTTTATTCTCTGGAAGTATTAAATATATGGAATTCTCCAGATTATGTATTTGTGTCAATTTAAACTATCCTTTGGAGTTGATCACAAAGTTGAGAATGTTTTTGGTTTTGATGAAAACTATTTTTAATTAAATACAAATACCTTCATATGGAGAATAATTAGTCCCTTTTACCTTCTTCTTTTTCTTTCTTCCTTTCAATTTTTTTTAATTTCTATATTGAATGCTAAGATAATGTATAATCTGCCTTCATTTATTTCTGAGTCTGTATTAGTGAAATGCAAAAGTCATGTAGAAACTACATGGTTTACCAAGAAGCAATTCTCAAGGTGCTACTTTGAGAAAGTCTATTTAGAATTTTCTTTTATTTAATAAATATAGTCTTTTACTTTCTTTCTATCCCCTTCTCTTTCTCATTCCCAGCATTAATTGCTTTTTTTTCTGACTTTACTTCTCTCCCATCTGACCTCACTTCTGTTCTATTACCTTCTTCTCTGTCTTGCTGCTGCCTCTCTGTGTCACAGATTGGTTCTTCCAGTCTTGTCTCTCCAGCAAGTCATTGTAAAACACACAGCTGGTGTGTAGCTGATAGCTGGGATAAGGTAAAGCCAAAATGCAGCGGTCGGGGGGCAGTCCTTGCTGGCATTGCTTTCCAGAATTAGTTAGAAAAGACTGTTTTTTCTCCATCTCTGCCCTGGTAAATGAAGTGGACAGCTAATTAGAAGTATCACAAAGGTAGATAAACAAAGCACAGCACAGCATCCTGAATGGCAGATTCTGATTCTTGCTTGTGAAACCATTCCTCCGTCCGCTGCTATTTG